ATGGAAATCCAAATTCTCTGTAAATGTTCATTATTTTAAAAAAAAAAAAAATAAAACAACCCAAACATATTTGCAATGAGTAAGTCACTGATTGTGAAAAATTCATTCTATCTCCAGCTCCATTTCTGTCACCAAGTCCATGTTTTCCAACTACTGAATCTTCTCTGTTCCCAACTTTTGCATTCCAGTCACCCATTACTATCAATCCATCTTGATTGCACATTCAATCAATTTCCGACTGTAAAAGTTGGTAGAAATCTATTTCCCGTTCTTTGGCTCTGGTTGTTGGTGCATATATCGGATTTTTTTAAAAAAAAATATGTGTATGTACATAGATTTATGTATATATATTTTAAAGGTTTTGCTTCTGTACAGAACCCAGACTAAAACAAGCTATTTACCTGCCACAAGTGTTTCTTCTTCTGGTAAATACATGTTCAAATCTTAATCAAGTTTTCTTTTTAGGCTAAAAAAGTATTCTTAACTTGTTTATGCTTTATGATATACTCTTGGAAGCTTTCTGAATTTGTTTTTTATATTTTTAAATTATATATATAATTCTGTCTTGGTAGATTTTTCTGGCTCTCTTCTTTTGACACTCTTCAGGTCCTTATAATCTGAAACTGTATTTTTCAGTTCCAAGGGCGTAATGCTGAAATCTCTTAACAATAATAATGACTTTAAGGTGACCAATAAACATAGTTTGTGACATGTAGAGGTGCTAGCTATAAGGCTGAAAGTTGAAATCTACCAATTCAAGTAAGGGAGAAAAATGGGTTGTCTTCTCCCTTAAATGTATAGTCTCAAACTGGCTATGTTACCGGGGGGGGGGGGGGGGGAAGATTTATGCCTCAGAAACTCAGTGGAGGACTGTTATGACTCAGAGCTGACTTCACAGTAGTGGGTTATTGCTTTATGTTGAGAATACTTACTTTAATGAATTTCTCTATTTTTCTCTATAGTTTTAACAATACTACTAACTGCATATTTTGAGGTATTTTAATCAGAAATGTTATTTTAAATTGCTCACAGGTGACACTCTGGTGAATTTCACAGGTGATTTAACTGCATAGGAAAAGGCTGCCCATCCTTCTTTCATGGAGTAGCTGGTAAATTCAAACCTCATGTCTTTGAGATGACAGTGCAGCTCCTTACCATGAAGCAAATCACAAAGGAGGAGACTTTCCATCTTTTTCCCATGGCGCAGCTAGTAAATTTGAACCATGTGCCTTTGAGAATGCACGGAGGCTGCATGAGGCTACCATAGCACCCTAGCTCTCTCATAAGATAATGAAAACCTGGCATGCTCTAATCTAATGAAAACATCTTCAGTGTTCTCAACTGTCATCTGTGTAACTCCATTAGTTAAAGTTACTGATTCCAGATTACTGGTAATACTATAGTTTCTTTGTACTCAGTTTTATTTTGAGTTACAAACTCTACCAGAGTCTCACTCTATATCTCTTTCACTATCTTTAGAATTCACTTAGTATTCTATTCAGTATGGATCTTTTTCCACCCTCAAACATGTACGGGAGAATCGAATCTGACTGGCACAGAAGAGACTGCCCCTCCTTCTCCAGGGGAGCATCTGATGGATTCAAACTGCACATCATCAGGATTGCAGTGCAGCTTCTTGTCACTAGGCCACCGGAGGTCCCTTCATTATGGGTCATAATGTGACAAGTTTTACACTGACTTGTATGAATATTTTATCAGACTTATTATCTACAGAAAAATTTATTAAATATCTAATTTCAGGTTTTAAGTTCTCTCCCTTAAATGCTCTGAAAATGTCACTATCTTCTTGCATCCAATATGAATGCTACAAAACTGATGTCAGTATGATTGTTACATTTCTGTATATTATAGGGTTACTCTGCCAACCCAAAAGCACGCAATTAAAAACTAGCATATGCTCCAATGGAAAATGATGGACTCCTAAGATTTACTGCCTTGAAAACCCACTGGAGAATCAGTTGTGTCAGCTCCAATTTAAAGATACACAGCAATAAGTAAGTACAAGCATATGAAGGTGTATTTTTTACATGGTAACTTCATGTTATGACTGGGACAAGAAGGCAAGGAAATCAAGAAAAAACTGTCCTCATTCATTGACTCAGTTATATATAAATAAATACTCTCATTTGTGTTTGAGATTGAGCACCCTGCCATCTTGGATATCCTCTTCCAGGAGCCCATTAAACTCTCTACTTATGTATGCTAAGTGAGGAAAAAGTATAGTTAGGAAAAAGATCTGGAAAGTATCTTTTCTATAATAAATGTCTATTACAATCTTACATTAAATTTACTTACAACATACGTGAGGGTAAGCTATAAACTGCTATCAACTTGACAGCACATAACAAGTACAGAAGAAGAGAACAAATACCAAAGTCTTTTCTATTTCTTAACAATCATATTACCCACAACTTCCTTGTGCACATACTCACCATTTCATTAGGATGAACCAGAAACAAATAGATTCCCGGATGTTTGTCAAAAACCTGAAAGGAGCAATTGGCTTGTTCCATCCGACAAAGAGCTTCAACACATAATTCATCTAAATAAAAAAAGAAAGCAGTAAATATGTCTTACCAAGATATCAAGACACTCTAAACCTTCAAGTACAGAACAATATTCCTTTCTTTTTTTGTTGCTTTAAACTAAAATATTCAAATAGTGATAGTAGGAATGTGGGACAATTTTTTACCTAACAGTCAATCACCAATCATGCAAGTTACAGCCTCTGAAAACCTGCTTAAGGTTACAAGTCAAATCAGTTATGAACCAGTAACAACTGGATGGCACACAGGAACAATTAATCCGCTGACAAGAGTGAATTATTATTAATTATTGAGTAGCTTACTTACTAGTCATCTTTTTTTATTAATTTTAATAAAAGTTTACAGAGACTTAGGGATTCCAGTCATTCATTGTTGCACTTTTCTCCCTATCCCCTCCCTCCAATTCACTCTTCTCCTTGAAAAAACTTCCTTTATTATTATTAATTTGAATGAAAATTTACAGAGACTTTGGATTTCCATTCATTCACTGTTGCACTTTTCCCCCTACCCACCCCTATTACACTCTTCTCTTTGAAAAGTAAAAGAAAAATTCTTTAATTTTTTACAATCCCTCCCCCCAGGTCCACTCCACTATGCAGCCTTCATTCTGGACTCCTGTCATGACAATAATACCTAATCACATATTCCTTTTAAACAGTTTTCTCCTTATCTGTTTAAATGCAGTATACATTATTGAACCCATCTTTCTCAATCTCCCCCCAACCCTGATGTCAGTCCTGTTTTAGAACAGTGGCACTATGGAGTATTTGTCTTTTTGTGACTGAGATATTTCACTCAGCATAATGTCCTCCAGTGTCATCCATTTTGAATAATATTTCATGAGTTCCTTGTTTTTCAATGTTGCATAGTATATTCCATTGTGTGAATATATTACAGCTTCGTTTCCAACTCCTTGCTACTGTGAACGAAGCCATGATAAACATGGGTGTGAATAAATCTGCTTGGGTGGCAGTATGGTCTCTTTGGGGTAAATTCCCAGTAGTGGAATTGCTGGTTCAAATGGTATTTCCATTTTCAATTTTTGAGAAAGCGCCATACAGCCTTTCATAGTGGTTGCACCATTTTACTCTCCCACCAACAGTGAAAAAGGGTTCCAGTTTCTCCACAACCTCATCAGCATTTGATGTTTGCTGTTCTATTAAATTTTGCTATTCTTACTGGGGTGAGATGATATCTCATAGTTGTTTTGATTTGCATCTCTCTTAGAGCTAGGGGTTTTGAACATTTCTTCATGTGTTTGTGTGCCATCTGAATGTCTTCTTTGGTTAAGTGTCTGCTCATATCCTGTGCCTGTTTTTCAATTGGGTTATTTACTTTAATCTTGTTGTGGTGCACTAACCATCTTCTAACACTGCTGTTGAGTGGGAGTTGACCTATCACTTTCTCCTATAGAACACCAGGTGGATCTGAACAAGGCTTTAGGACTTCCGTGTAGCTTCATACTAGTAGACCACCAAATCTCCCCTCTTTCACACTAAGCGTAATTATTTTCATGGAGTATCTTCCTAGATGTATGGTTGTAAGTACAATGCTGATGATACATTGTTTTGGTACATCTGCACCTTACTTAGTAGTGATGAAAGTAAACTTTTTTTTTTTTAAGAGTCAACGTTGCGTAATTATTTTCATGGAGTATCTTCCTAGATGTATGGTTGTAAGTACAATGCTGATGATACATTGTTTTGGTACATCTGCACCTTACTTAGTAGTGATGAAAGTAAACTTTTTTTTTTTTAAGAGTCAACGTTTATCTTAAACAACTAGCTGTCCTAACACAACTGACTGACTAATCCATCTTTTCCCACATGATATATGTAAATGCTACTATCACCAGACACTTAATTCTCCAAATACATTATGGCTGATTTCTGGCCTCTCTATTCTATTGCACTAGGGTATGCTGGCATCATTCAATCCCTATTCCTTTATAGAAAATTCTTCATTCTTTTAGAGAAGTGTTCTGGAAAGACTCAGACCAATCACTTTAAGTTTGGTAACATTGAAAACAAATCTGTTGTTGCTGTCATTTGCCGTCAAGTCATCTGCAACTCATAGCAACCCCATGCAAAAAAGCTCTGAAGCCTGGGATATCCTGAGCCAGTCTCACTGAATCTGACACACCTACCTCCATTACCCTCCATTACTGTGTCAATCCATCTCATCCAGGATCTTCCTCTCTTGCACAGACTCTCCATCCTTCACAGCATGATGTCCTCTCCAAGGACTGGTCCCTCCTGGACACATTCCCAAAGTATGTGAAACAGAGCTTCAAAATCCCAGTATCCAAGGAGAAATTTGGTTTCACTCTCTCCAACATAGACCTATTTGTTCTCTTGGCAGTCCATGTTCAATACCATTCTTCAGCACCACAACTTAAAGGCATATATTCATTTTCTGTCATCCTTAGTCACTGTACAGCTCTTTGATGAATAAGTAAAGACTAAGGCACACCTTAGTCTCTAGACTGTCATCATTGTTTTTCCCACTCCTTGAAAGCAGATTTTCCCAGTAAAATTGATCTTTTTATTCCTGACTGCTAGTGTCAAGAGTGTTGACAGGAGAGCCGAGCTACCTGAAATTGTTAACAAACTCAGTATCTTCTCCATCTATCATGGTGCTACTGACTGGTGAAGAATCTTTTCACCTTCTGGATGATAAATTTCAATCCACACTGAATCCTTGCCTTTCTATAGCAAACACCTCATGTCCTCCTCAATTTCAGCAAGCAAGGCAGTGTCATCTGCGTATCACAAGTCGTTGATGAGTCTTCCTCCAATTTTGATGTCACATTTCTTCCTCATAAAGCTCAGCCTCCTGAATGATATATTCCACATACAGACTGAAAAGTATGGAGACAGGATACATGCCTGATGCATTCCATTCCTGATTTTCTACCATGCAGTTGTTTGCTTGCTCTGTTCTGAGGACTCCTTCCTGATGTGAGTACAGATTTCACACTGGCACAATCAAATGTTTTGGGATTCCCATTCTCCTCAAGGTTAACCACAATTAATTGTGATCCATACAAATACCTCTGCATAGTCAATGAAACACAGGTAGACATCCCTCGGGTACTCTCTGCTTTTAGTCGATGATTTCTAACAAGTTTTGCAGTGAGAAATCGATCACAAATGTAACCAAGATACATTAATAATAATGGGTGGTTGGGATGCAAAAATTGGGAACTGGGGAAAGGATCAGTAGTCGGAAAGTATGGACTTAGTGACAGAAATGAGGCTAGAGACAGAATGACAGAATTCTGCACAATGATTTATTAATGAAAAATACCTTTCATAAGAAACATAAATGCAGACTATACACATGGATTTCACCCTAAGGTATGCACTGGAATCAGGCTGATTACATCTGTGGAAAGAATTGTTGGAGAAGCTCAATATCAGCTGTGAAAACTAGGCCACGTGCTATAATTGTGGAAAAGACTATCAACTACGCATACACAAGTTCAAACTAAAGCTAAAGGTGGTTAAACCAAGTCCACAGGAACCAAAATTTGACCTTGAGTCTATCCCATCTCAATTTAAAAACCATCTCAGGATCAGATTTGAGACCTTGAACAATGATAACAAAGACCAGATGAGCTGTGGAAGGCTATCAAGAATATCATCCATGAAGAATGAAAAAAGTCATTATAAAGACAGAAGAGGAAGATTGAGATGGAGGTCAGAAAAGAATATAAATATTGCACTAGAGCTCCGAGAAGCAAAAGCAAAGATAAGAATGAAGTAGTTAAGGAGCTGAATAGAAGATTTCAAAGGGCTTCTCAGCAAGACAAAGCAAAACATAATGAAATGTGCAAAGAGCTGGAGTACAAAAATTAAAAGGGTCGAACTCACTCAGCACTTCTTAAGTTGAAGGTACTAAGAAAAAATTCAAGCCTTGAGTTGCAATAAATACTTAAGGACACTACAAACAGAATATTGCATGATCCAGGAAGCGCTAAAAAGACAATAGAAGGAGTACACAGAGTCACTATACCAAAAAGAATTGGTTGACACAAAACAATTTCATGAAACAATTTATGATCAAGAGGCAATGGTGGTGAAGAAGTTGAGGCTGCTCTGAAGGACTTGGTAAAAAACAAGGCCTGAAGAACTCATGGAATATCAACTGGTACATTTCAATAAACTTGATGCTGCCCTGGACCTGTTTGCCAAGTCGTCCCAACAAATCTGGAGGACAATCCCTGTTTATTCCCATTCCCAAAAAAAGGTGATCTGGTAAGAGTTTGGAAATCATCAAATAATATCACTAATATCTCACACAAGCAAATGTCTGCTGCAGATTATCCAAAAATGACTGGCAACAGTATATTGACAGAGAACTACCAGAAATAGAAGCTGGGTTTGGAAGGGATCATGGCACTAGAAACATTATTTCCAATGTCAGACAGTTACTGGCCAAAAGCAAAAATAATACTATAGTGGTATCATTCACTACAGGGAAGAAGAATAACAAGAGCAAGAGAAACACTTCTGGATATATTATTCTTGAATAGAAGCTTGGAAAATGTCTTAAAATTTCATACCTATTTAATATTTATTGTTTTACAAGCAACAAATGCTGGCGAGGTTGTGGAAAAACAGGAACCCCTATTCACTGTTGGTGGAAGTGTAAAATGGTGCAACCACTGTGGAAGGTGGTATGGTACTTTCTCAAAAAGGTGCAAATAGAGATACCATTTGACCCAGCAATTCCACTACTGGGAATATACCCCAAAGAGACCATAACTGCAACCCAAGCAGATATATTCACACTCATGTTTACTGCTGAGTTATTCACAATAGCACAAGGATTTGGAAACAACCCAGGTGCCCATCAAGAAACTAATGGATACCGAAGCTGTGGTATATTCACACAATGGGATACTACGCTGCATTGAAAAATAAGGAATTCATGCAGTATTATTCAAAATCGGTGACCCTGGAGGACATTATGCTGAGTGAAGTATCTCAGTCACAAAAGGACAAATACTGCATGGTGCCACTGTTGTAAAACAGGGCTGACATTGGAGTTGGGGGGAGACTGAGAAAGATGGGATAAATAATGTATCCTACACTGAAACAGATGAGGGAGAAAACTGTTTAAAAGGGATATGTGATTAGGTATTTTTGTCATGACGGGAGTCCAGAATGAAGGCTGCATGGTGGAGTGGACCTGGGGGGAGGGATTATAAAACAGTGAGAGAATTTTTCTTTTACTTTTCCAAGAGGGTAGTGTACTAGGGGAGAAGGTTGGGAGGGGAGAAAAGTGCAACAATGAATGAATGGAAATCCAAAGTCTCTGTAAATTTTCTTTGAAATTAATAGTTTAAATTTTTTTTTAAAATGTACTGATTTAGAATTAGTAATCTAATAAATTATTTAGCTTTGCTTTCCATTTTAAAAAAATGTAAAGGTTAAATAAGTAAATGAAAAATCACAAAGCAATCAGAAAAATTCATAAACTACATTAGTCTATAATACATTCTCTAGGAACTCAAACTTACAGCCAAAAAAGCAACATGTATGTTCAAGTTCATTTGTGCAGTGTGGGTGTATGTTTGTCTTACAGAATCCAGACTTGTTAAAGAGACTAAAGCCACAAAAATTCTTAATCCTGAGACAAATTTCAAACTTTGAGTTGAAACTCTCCCCTAAACTCATCTTCAAACTAAACAGCTTACTTGAATTAGTAAAGAATGTTCACCTTGAGCAATGATCTCTTTTTAAAAATTATTTGTATCAAATTTGCTTAAACTTTAAAAGTGTAACTGAACAGCCTAGCAATTCCAATCCTAAATCTAAAAAAAACAAAATGAAACAATACAGGGATGTAACCAATGCCTTTAAACTGTGTATCTGGAAACTGCTGAATAGGTATGCTGTATTTACAACACAAAAATACAGGCCGCTGCTTTTAGATGTTGATAGTCAATTACAACTCATGTGCCTGTTATGTGCTGCCAAGCTGCCTGCAAGACTCATAGTGACCTTTTATGTTCTGCAGCTCTGAACCCTGCTTCATTCTGAACAAACCTTATTGTCTCTGACACACCTACCCCAATAGCACCATCACTGAGTCAATCCACCTGATTGAGGATCTTCTCTGGCACTGTCCCTCTACTATCCCAACCATGATGTCCCTTCTCCAAGGAGTAGTCCTCCCCTGCAACATGCACAGAGTACACCAGATGGAGCTTGAGAATCCTTGCCCCCAAGAAGCACGCTGATTTCACCCTCTCTAGGATGAATCTGTTTGTTCTCCAGGCAATCCATGTTTTCAGTACTCTTCTCCAGAACCACAGCTCAAAGGCATCAATTCTCCTTCTATCATCCCTAGTCACTGTCCACATTTCTGATGCATAGCAAGTAATTGCAAAAAGACTATGGCCTGGATCAGGTCCATCTTAGTCTCCAGACCGGTATCACTGCTCTTCAGTACTCTGGAGGGGTCCCTGACAGCAGACTTTCTCAATGCAATTCATCTCTTGACTGCCGGGCTGCTTGTACCAAGAGTGTTGATTGTAGAGCTAAGCAAACTAAAGCTGTTAACAATCTCAGTCTCTTCACCATCTATCATGATGCTGCCAATCAGTCCAGGGATAAGATCTCTGTTTTCTTGATGGTGAGCTTCAATCCATATTGAAGGCGATAGATAGTCTTTAACTTTCTGCAGCAAGCACTTCAGGTTCTCCTCAGTTTAAGCAAGCAGGGTTGTGTCATCTGTATAACACAGATTGTTGATGAGTCTTCCTGTAATTCTGATGTCACATTGCCACATTTCTCCTCATAGAGCCCAGCCTCCAGGATGACCTGTTCTGCACAGACACTGTATTACAACTCATAGCATCCCTATGAACAACAGACCTGCCCTATCCTACATCACTTTCAGGAACTCTGATATGCTCAAGCCCATTGCTACAGTCTGAGGAGCTCTGGTGGCCTAGTGGTAAGAAGGTGCGCTGCAATTCTAAAGCACACAGTTTGAATATATCAGCTGCTCTGTGGGAGAAAGATGAGACAACCTCCTCCTGTGCAATTTTACTTCCTCTAAACATCTGCTGAAGAGTCAACTATGTGTCAGTTCCAACTTGATGGCACAAAACAACAATTAGTACATTACTTTGTCAATCCTTCTTGCTGAGAGTCTTTTCTTTCTCTGACCATACATATATTTAAAATAAAGATTCCTGTAGGTTAAAAGAAACTATATACGCACACGTATATAACATATGCATATGTGTATCTATATAAGCATTTGGTTTATATATTATATGTAAACCAAATACAGTATGACCTGACTAGACTATAAATAAATCAGGCAAAAAACACTTTGTGAACCTACTGGGAATATCTGAACACAGACCACACACTATTGTTAAGAGTTTGTTGGAAATGCAAATATAAAATATTAAACTCTAGACACCTCTATTTTATACCATGATGATTAGTGTAATTGACTGTAGACTAATACAACCAAGAATGCATTTTGTGGTCCCAGGAGCACATGACAATACCTGGTAATACTTTTGGTGTCATACTAGGAGACTTTATGGTAAACAACAACAACTGGGAGAGAGTGGATTGTGTCAATCATATCTCGTGAAATAAAACTAAGAAATGCTATATAATATCTTACAATGTAAAATGCACAGCCTCATAATAAAACAAAGAACCATCCAGTTCAAAATGTCAATAATGCTAAGGTTAAGAAATTGTAGACACAAATTTTAAGATGAAAATGAAGTGAATGAGCAGGTAAAACACATATATTCTTTAAAGCAAACAGAACTGTTAAAAACTGTAAAATCTACGTAACAGCTTTATCATGTTCACTGTACAATTTTCTCGACCACTCTATGTCCAGGTTGGGTTCAGAAGGGGTCGTGGTACTAGGGATATTGTAGCTGATGTTAGATGGATCTTGGCTGAAAGCAGGGAATACCAGAGGAATGTCTATCTGTGTTTCATTGACGATGCAAAAGGCATTTGACTGTGTAGATCTTAACAAACTATGGCTGACTCAGAAGAATGGGAATCCCAGAACACTTGATCGTTCTAATGCGAAACTTATACTTGGACCAGGAGGCAGTCGTCAGAACAGAGCAAGGGAACACGGCATGGTTCAAAATTGGGAAGGGTGTACGCCAGGGATGCATCCTATCTCCATACCTTTTCAACCTATATGGAGAACAGATTAGATTATCCGGGAAGCTGGGCTCTATGAGGAGAAATGTGGGGTCAAGATTGGTGGACGATTTATCAACAACCTGCGTTATGCGGATGACACAACCCTGCTTGCTGAAACTGAAGAAGACCTGAAGCGCCTGCTGCAGAGTGTCAAGGACTGCAGCCTACAATATGAATTGAGGCTCAATGTCAAGAAGACAAAGATTCTCACCAGTGGACCAACTGTCAGCATCAGGATGGATGGTGAAGAAATTGAGATTGTACACAGCTTTAGTTTGCTTGGCTCCATAGTCAACAGTCTTGGCACCAGCAGCCAGGAAACTAAAAGGCGCATTGCCATGGGAAAGTCTGCTGTTAGGGACCTCTCCAAAGTACTGAAGAGCAATGGTGTCTCTCTGGAGACTAAGTTGCGTCTGATAAAGGCTATGGTCTTCGCAATCACTTGTTATGCATCAGAGAGTTGGACAATGACCAAGGAGGACAGAAGGAGAATTGATGCCTTTGAGCTGTGGTGCTGGAGAAGAGTATTGAGAATACCATGGACTGCTAGGAAAACAAACAGATTTGTCCTGGAAAGGGATAAACCAGGTGGCTCCTTGGAGGCAAGGATTCTGAGGCTCTAACATACTTTGGACGTGTTTTGAGGAGAGACCTGTCCTTTGAGAAGGTCATGCTTGGGAGGGTGGAGGGACAGTGCAGGAGAGGAAGGCCCTCTACGAGGTGGATTGATTCAGTGACTGGGATAATTGGGATGGGAGTGTCAGAGACAGTGCGATTGGCACAGGACAGAGCAGAGTTTAGGACTGTTGTACACAGGGTTGCTATGAGTCGCAAGCGACTCGATGGCACATAACAACAACAAAAACTATATATATGAAAACTTCTGATAATAAAATGTTGGGGGAAAATAGTGTAAGTACACACATTTTAAGGTAAGCCTTCGAATTTTCAATATAGATAAACCAAAATATATCCAATTTTTAAGTAGCAAAACTAATTTAACTTGAAAAATACCCAAGATACTCACTAACACGCTCATGTAGGAGAAGGTATGGGTATTTTAATATTTCAAGAAGAGGAACTCGAAGCTTATTTTCAAAGTCTTGGCCAGTGAAGTCAAATAAATGTGTTTCTCCATTGTTGTCTACTATGTATAATTCATCATCATCTCCAATTTCTGCTTTCATGGATTTTTCAAAGTGATTTACGAGGCGTAAGGTTTCTAATTCCCATAAAACCTATAGGAAAAGAAAAAGAATGTGTTTTAGATCTTATCAACAAAATATGTTGATGATTGCCTTTGTTTTTAAAACAGTTTCTCTACTGAATCAGGGACATATTAGATACAAAGCCAATTTTAAATTTATACTAGTCAATTCTATTTTTAAATGTTTTCACAAATTGGCATGCAGCAGTCGTCTCAAGGTAAAATATATCTACCATTATCAATAAAACCTATTTCAATTATTTACACTTAAAGTTGAAAAAATCATTTATCCTGAACATGAAAAAACTTTAATAAATTTAAATTAATTATACAAAACGCATTACTTGGTAGTTTTTCCCCTTGAAAAGGTTAAAAAAAATTTCAACTATACAACTAATAGACATCAGTCACAACATAATCCTGGATCAGGCCATATTGTCCAGATGACTGTGCTTATGCGAACCCTATACTTGGACCAGGAGACAGTTGTCAGAACTGATCAAGGAAACGCTGCATGGTTAAAAACTGGGAAGGGTATATGCCAGCAATGTGTCGTATCTCTTTACCTTTTCAATCTATATGCAAATTAGATTGTCAGGGCGTCTGGGCTTTATTAAGAAAAACATGGCGTCAGCATTAGAGGAAGACTCATCAACAACCTGCGTTATGCAGATGACACAACCCTGCTTGCTGAAACTGAGGAGAACTTGAAGCATTTGCTGTAGAAGGCCAAAGACTTCAGCCTTCAATATGGACTGAAGGTCAACATCAAGAAAATAAAGATTCTCATCACTGAGTCGATTAGCAGCATCATGATAGATGGTGAAGAGACTGAGATTGTTAACAGCTTTAGTTTGCTTGGCTCTACAATCAACACTCTTGGTACAAGCAGCCAGGAAATCAAGAGATGAATTGCATTGGGAAAGTCTGCTGTCAGGAACCCCTCCAGAGTACTAAAGAGCAACGATATCCATCTGGAGACTAAGATGCACTTGATCCAGGCCATAGTCTTTGCAATTACTTGCTATGCATCAGAAATCTGGACAGTGACTAGGGATGACAGGAGAATTGATGCCTTTGAGCTGTGGTTCTGGAGAAGAGTACTGAAAACATGGATTGCCTGGAGAACAAACAGATTCATCCTAGAGAGGGTGAAATCAGCGTGCTTCTTGGGGGCAAGGATTCTCAAGCTCCATCTGATGTGCTCTGTGCATGTTGCAGGGGAGGACCAATCCTTGGAGACAAATGTCATGCTTGGGAGGGTGGAGGGACAGCACAAGAGAGGGAGATCATCGATGACATGGAATGACTCAGTGACTGGGGTCAAGGGGGTAGGTGTGTCAGACAATAAGATTGGCACAGGATAGAGCAGGGCTTAGGGCTGTTTACATACGGTCACTATGATTCATGGGCAACTCGATGGCACATAACAACAACAACATTATCATAGAGCAAGAGAAACCATTGCATGTTATACAAAATAAAATTCACATGTGCCAGAAATGAAAGAACAAAAACATAAACCTTAGAACTGACACTAATGTTCAGTAACCTAAGTAACAGTGGCCACAAATGCCACTGACCAAAACAAAGATAGTGGCTGTTTATCATTTAACAGGCTTTCACACTTTGACATCAGAAATACAAGTTTTTCCAATTACATGGGAGCACATTTCAACATTCAAGAGTGGAGAGGGTAGATATGCCAATCTATACGGAGGCGGGAAAGCTACTGTTTGCCCAACATTGAGAAAATCAGCTTTCTAGAGACTCTGACAAAAGTTACACAGAAACCAGAGTGGTTAACTAGCTGCCTGTGTCAACAATTTCAGTGGAAGATGACCAAATCCCAAGACTGAATGCAAAAACTTAGGGACTGAATGGGTGGTGGTGGTGGTGGTGGTGGTGGTGGTGGGTGTTAAGCAAGTCTTATCTTTAAATACAAAATAAAATCAAGAAGTTATGAAAGTCCTTAGTCAAAATAACAGTCCACAGTCATAGAGTCCTGCCACTGGGTGGGAAGAACACAAGATTTAGATTGTTGTTTCTTCTAAGAATTCAACAAAAAAATCTTTACTGATTTCAACTGCAGGACAGGATTCCAATGAGTATGTCATATGTAGTAAAGTACTGTTTAGTTTTGTGTTCAAATCCTAAACAAATTGTGCTTCTTATTATGGTAACAATGAACAGAATAAAAGAACTCCTACTAATGCTTACAATCTAAAAAGACTTCTATCGAGGAGGCAGAATTCATACAAGAAATTATGCCACTCAGATTCCCATTTTTCTAAGAAGGTGTCTTCAGTATCTATGAATCACCAAGAAATAAGCTATGAAGACACATTTCAGAAGATAAAAACATAGAAACTAAATGACATTACTGTGACTGGGAGATTTGGTAAGTTCAGTTATGAGTTTCCAACTCTCTAGACTTAAAAAAAGAAGAAATCTATTCAGGCATTATGTAGATTATGTCCCAATATTACGGCAACAAGAATCAGGCTTCCAAGGATCGGACGATCATTATACTATTCATGTTGTTCACTGCTCTTTATATCCTTGCTCAAACTCCCATGTACTCTTGTTCATGCTTTCACCACAACTACCTTGTTAAATAATGTTTTCTAGCTTGTTCTAGTGATCTTCTGCTTCCATGGCTTGTTATTTGGAGGCCTCTCCACGGATTAATAGTGAATATCATCTGACTGCTAAAACAAAACAGTAAATGTGTATTTTCCATTAGACTCTCTGTCTCCTTTACAGATTCCATTATTATTAGGCCCTGTAATCTCCATGTTTATGTCCAGGAAGCTGCCCTCAGCCACTGCAAAGATGAGGCCCATCTTGGTGCCCGAGTGCTTATGGCATTTCTTGGCACATGTATCAATGCTAATGAAGTAGCCTGAGATCTTGGTCAGCAGCACGGCCAAGCACCAGCACTCAGTGAGGGTCACCAAGATAGGGCTGGGGCTAGGCCACAACTGACAATGGAGCCTCCTATGCCACCAGTGTCACACACAGCTGCTGCTTCAGTCACTGGGTCAGCTCTAAGTAATTTATCTGTCTAGTGAGCTTTTCCTTAGGTGGAAAATGGAGAAATTTAAAGGCATACCTCATACATAAAATTTAAACAAAGCAATCATTAACAGACAGCTTGAGTGACCTAGTGGTATCCAGGAGTTATGCTGCTAACCAAAGTGAGGTGGTTCAACTACACCAAGAACTACTTCAAGAAAGAAAGATGGGCAATTATGCTGAGTGAAGTATCTTCAGTCAGTCACAAAAGGACAAATACTGCATGGTGCCACTGTTGTAAAACAGGGCTGACATTGGAGTTGAAGGGAGACTGAGAAAGATGTGATAAATAATGTATCCTGCATTGAAACAGATGAGGGAGAAAACTGTTTAAAAGGGATATGTGATTAGGTATTTTTGTCATGACTGGAGTCCAGAATGAAGGCTGCATAGTGGAGTGGACCTGGGGGGAGGGATTGTAAAACAATGAGAGAATTTTTCTTTTACTTTTCCAAGAGGATAGTGTACCGGGGGGGAGGGTTGGGAGGGGAGAAAAGTGCAACAATGAATGAATGGAAATCCAAAGTCTCTGTAAATTTTCATTGAAATTAATAATAAATTTTTTAAAAAAACACCAAAAACAAACCACAATGAGATACTGTTTTACTCCCACCAGAATAGCTATGATTTTTTTTTTACCGAAAGAAATCCACATGTTCAATGCAATCCTGATACAGATTAACAAAATCATTCTTCAAAGAGACAGAAAAGGCAATTTCTCGTTTTCTTTGGAAAGTAACGAAACCCTAAGAAGCGAAATTCTTCTGAAGAAAAAAGATGATGTAGGAGGCATCACACTCCCTGATCTCAAAGCCTACTAAAGACTATTACACAGCTGCAGTTGTCAAAACAGGATGGTACTGGTAAAAGGACAGGAACACAGACAATTGGAGTAGAATTGAGAACCCAGAAATCAACCCATCTATACTGGTATTTGATAATCAAATTGTTCTTCTTAGACAACAAAAAAACCCTAATAAATGAAGAAACATTAGCCTCTTTTTTACAAGTAGACATCTACCTGTAAAAATCTGAAACAGAACTCACATCTCAAACATTAAACAAAAAAACACTTCAAGGTGTATTAGAGAGCAAAGGGTAAAACCTAAAACTATAAAGATTATCATAGACAATAGGAACTAATCTACAAGTCCTAGTCTATAGCATAAGCAGGTTTGGAAAAATAGCAAAAAATATACAACAGGGAGAAGATAAAATAGACAAATGGGATCTTCTAAATATCAAATCTCCATGTATATTAAAAATTTTTCCAGCACAGTGAAAAGCAAGTCCACTAACTGGGAAAATCATGATAACGACATTTCAGACTAACGTCTCATAACTAAAGTTTACAGAATACTACAGAGACTCTATGAGAAAAAGTCTGATAACTTTGGGCAAGTCTCTTCACAGAGGAGGACACCTGGATGACTAACAAACACATGAGAAAATGTTTCACATCACTGAACAGAGAGATGCAAACATCAAATCATCAATGATATACCATCTTACCCCAGCAACAAAAGCAAAGTCCAACAGGACAGCAAACCTTGGTGAAGATGCGGAGAAACTCTCAGGCACTGATAGTGGGATTGTAAAATGGCACAGTCACTAAGGGAAGCAGTATGATGTTTCTTCAAATAGTTGCACACAGAAATCCCAAAGAAGCTATTCCACTGCTAGGATTATATCCCAGGGAAATCAGAGTTGATACAAAAACAGAGACATGTACACCTATTTTCATAGAGTACACAAAAGTTACAGAAATGGAAGCAACCCAAGAGCCTATCAATTGATAGAGAAACTGTGGTACAGTCACATGATGGAATACTTTGCAGCACTAAAAACCAAATATTCGTAAAATACAAAACAACATTAAAAAGTCTAGAGAGCATTATCTTGAATGAAATAACTCAGTCACAAAAGGACAAACATTGCATAAGATCTCTACTGTGATATTAGGAGATACCAAGCAGGATTATTTATCGATTTGAGGGACAGAGGTGCTGTATGTACATACAGCCAGCCTGAAGGCACATGATTCAAATCCACCAGTTGCTCCACAGAAAAAAAATGGACAATCTCTTCCTGTGTAATATATTGTTGTTACTGTTGTTTTAGGTGTCGTCAAGTAATGTAGAACATGTAACAACCCTGTGAAAAACAGATGTGAACTCTTTCTGGTCTGATGCTAGCCTCATCAGCTCCAACATATCTGAGCCCACTGCTGCAATCACACTGTCAAACTATCTTGTTGAGGATCTTCCCTGCCTTTGCTGATCCTCTACCTTTCCAAGCATTGTGTCCCATTCCAAAGAATAGCCTCTCCCTTGTCAAAGTATGTGAGATGAATCTTCCAACGAAAATTCTGGCTGCACTTTTCCCAAGACATATCTGTTTTCCTTCTGGTAGTCCATGGGATATTCAGTACTCTTTTCCAATATCATTATTCAAAGGCATCAATTATTCTTGTAAACCTTATTCAATGGCCAGCACTCAAGAGGCATGGCAAGTGACTGAAAAGATCATAGTCTGAATTAGGCACACCTTAGTCTTCAAACTAACATCACTGCTCCTGAGTACTTGGGAGAAGCCTGACAGTAAACTTTCCCAATGCAAATATATCTCCTGGATGCTAGTACCAAAGGTGGTGACTATAAATGTACTGCTTCTGTATACCCTAAAGAAACTATAACTGCCACCCAGACAGATATATGCACATCCATGTTTATTGCGGCTTTGTTCACAATTGCAAAGAGATGGAAACAAGCTAAGTGCCCATCAACTAAAAAACGGATAGAGAAGCTGTGGTAGTCACACAATGGAATACTACGCTGCACTGAAAAACAAGAACTCAAGCAGTATTATGCAAAATGGGTGACCCTGGAGTACACTATGCTGAGAGAAACATTTCAATCACGAAAGGACAAATACTGCATAGTGCCACTGTTGTAAGAATGAGAAGGACTGGATAAATTATGTATACTGCATTGAAACAGATGAGGGACAGAACTGTTTATAAGCGATAAATGATTGGGTATTATGGTCATGACAGGAGTCCAGAATGAAGGCTGCATAGTGCAGTGGGGATTGTATACCAATGAAACAATTTTTCTTTTTACTTTTCAAAGAGAAGAGCGAATTGTGGGGGCGGGGTGGGCAGGGAGAAAAAGGCAACAATGAATGAATGAATGGAAAGCCAAAGTCTCTGTAAATGTTTATTAAAATTAATAAAAATAAAATTGTAAAACATTTACTGCCTCTGAAAACCTGCTAAAGGATCAGTTATGAGTCGATTCCAACTTGATGGTACATAACAAAAATGAGGAAAACATATGTCCATACCTTCTTACTGCTAGTACCAAAGGTGTTGATTATGGATCCAAGCAAGATGAAATTGTTGACAATTTCAGTCTTCTCTCCATCATCATGATGTTGTGCCTATTGGTCCAGTGGTGAGGGGTTTTGTTTTCTTGATGTTGAGATGTAACCCATATTGAAGGCTGTAGTCTTTGATTCTGTAAGCAAGGGCCTTATATTTTTTTTCCACTTTCAGCAAGAAAGGTTGTTTCATTTCCATAACACAGGTTGTCCAGTATTCCTCCAACTCTGATGCCACTCTCTCTTCAAACTCCAGCTTCTCAAATTATTTGCTCTACATAAAGATTCAACAGTTATGGAGAAAGGATACAGTCCCTTTCTGATTTCAAACTATACAGTGTTTCCTTGCTCTGTCCAAATAACAGCTTCTTGGTCTAGGTACATTATTCTTCTGGTAGTCTCTGCTTTCAGCCAAGATGCATCTAGTGCCATGAACTCTTCTAAGCCCAGACTAAATTTCTGGCAGTTCTTTGATAATGTACTGTTCTAGCTGTTTTCTGATATCTTCAGCAATATTTTGCTTGCATGTGTTATTAATGCTACTGTTCTGTAATTTCCATATTCTTGGGAATGGGAGCAAATATGGATGTCTCCCAGTCAGCTGGACAGGTGACATTCAAACTTGCTGAGTCGGGAAATCAAAGATACCATCATTGAAAAGAACAAAAGGTCATTATAAAGACAGGGGAGAAAGAAAAAACCCCCAAAATGGGTATCAGAAGAGACTCTGAAAATTACACCAGAGCATCAAGAAACTAAGAGATGTCAAAGTAAATGAGATGAAAGAAGATTTCAAAAAGCAATTCGAGCAGACAAAAGAGTATTATAATGGAAAGTTAAAAAAAAACTGGAGTTGGAGAATAAAAAAAGAACTTGCTTAGCATTTCTCAAATTTAAAGAACTGAAAAACAAATTCAAGTCTCAAGTTGCAACACTGAGAGATACTATGGGAAAAATCTTGAATTAGTTAGAAAACGGAAAAAATACATGAAGTCACTGTACAAAAATACGAATTGACTGACAAAAATATTTCACAAAGTACTATATGATCAAGAACCAATGGTGATAAGGGAAGTTCAAGGTGCATTGAAGGCAATGGCAAAAAAACAAGATAACAGGAATCCATGGGATACCAACTGACATGTTCCAACTAACCAGTGCACATCTGGATGTGACCTCCTTAATTATAAGAAAAAAGAACTATTAACTACTAGGGACCTATAGGAATTTAGTGGCAAGGAGTTACACTGCCAAACCAAAAGCACCAGTTGCTCCTCAGGAGAAAGATAGGCAATCTCCTCCCTTATAATTTACAGTCTCTGAAAAGGGTCAACTGTGAAATGGTTCTGACTCAATGACACAAGTCATCAATAACCAATAATGAATCATGCTATTCAGATAAACATACTATGATTAATCCCATAACTCTGTAAATTATCAAAATATTAGTTTTTTAAAAATACTATATATATAAACTTTCATAAATTAGGTTGTATAATAAAATTTTCATAAAACATGTTGCTTGAATATAAAATTCTCTCTCCAGTTTCAAATAAATTCTACTAGTAAATATGTATTATTCAGCGTCTACTTTCCCTAGCCAATGTGCAAGGTATGAGGAGCCTTCAGAGTTTAAGCTATCTGATTTCCTTAAATACTTTTTAATAAGAGTTTAACCATACTCTCCCTCGTTAATTACCTCATGTAAGAATGGCAATTCATCTCGTGCTTTGTGGTATTCAGTTACACACTCTAGGCAGTAGCAGAGGTCTTCATCAGCTGTTTGAAAGTCAGTAGTGTGGATCCGAGATGCATACCGCTTTAGGAAGTCAACAGTGGAAACACCACCTGGTGTACACCAACAACATGTGCTCATTCTGTACCTGTATTTAGAAAAGAAGACATCCAAGATGGGGGAAAAAACCAGCAAAATACCACTTCAGGTCTATTCTATATGAAGAAAAGGTACATTTCCCATCAATGACCCTGATCCTCAAAATAGCCCTACACAACAGCCAGAAATTCAGATAAGCCAAACTTATTTATTCAGAGTCACTATGGGTCATATTCAGCTCGACAGCACCTAACAACAGCAGGCAGAACATGCTACTTACTAGTCTAACAACAACTGATAAAACTTAAATCTGTACACACATGAAAATGTACAAAAAGAAAATGTAAGAACTTTGTTAGTAATAATTATCATGCTGATCATGGTGCTGTCAGGAAAGAAAGATCTGCCTCATAGCAACCCTACGTACGAAAAAGGAACAAATGTGATCCTAGGGCATCTTCACATAGAGTCCACTGTCAACACAAAGCTGTGCTAAAGAAGGTTCAAAACTAGTAGTACTAAATTCTTGAAACATACTGGATCTTGCTCAGTGTTTTAGTCTCCTAATAGGATGATTCTTTTTCTTTAATACCTTTAATATTTGGACATTGGCTTATGCTTTTTAGATTTTTGGTTGCTATCTTGCCAAAATAACTTACTATGTCTGAGGCTTAATTCCCCTCCCCCGCAAAAAAAATGTCTTAAAAAATAAAAAACAAAGCTAAAAGAAAAAAAACACTAGTAGTACTAATGGACAGAATGATCAATTATATTTTCATAGTGCAGATTTTGGAGTGTTCTATTGGTGTACTGGAACCAGAAAAAGCAGAGGAAACCTTTCACATTCACAGAGGTTATGTTCCAGAAATCCTAGAAATACAAAAAATCCATAAACAGAGATCTATACCACTAACAAAAATCCTTATAGAAAAGGACTTTTCTCTTGATTAGAAAGGACATATACACAATGTACATATATGTATCAGTGACAATTCACCTCTTTTCAATATACTATATACTCTAAAAAAGGTACAAATGGTAATAAGCTATTGTTATTAAGCTTGATATCCAACTTTTTTAAAATGCCTTCAACTTAGGGTAATCTGGTTTTTTAGCAATCACCTGCAAGTCCTAGTAATCTAAGTAAAGTAGCAAGAGAGAACCAAAAAGCCAGAGGAATTCCATTTATCATTTACCAAAAGTTTGAAGATATAGAACATATTTATCAGAACCTGAGAGAACATAAAACTGAGACTACCAAGTCTGATAAAAGTTAAGAATCCTATGGTGCCACTGTTGTAGAATGAGGCTGGCATTGGGGTGGGGGTAAGACTGAGAAAAACTGGATGAAATATGTTTACGGCATTAAAGTCTATGGGGGAGAAAATAGTCTAAAAGTATTATATTTTAGGGCATTATTTTTATCGTAGGAGTACGCAATGAGGGTTGCAGAGTGGATTATATTTGGGGGTAGGGGGTGGGGTTTGGGGAGGTGCGGGGGGATTGTGTACCAATGAGGGAGTTTTGCTTTTGCTTTTCAAGGAGAAGAGCAAAAGGGGGGAGGGTGCAGGGAGAAGGGTGCAACAATGAATGAATGGAATTCCAAAATTTCTGTAGATGTTCATTGAAATGAAAAATAAACTAAATTTAAAACAAGTTAAGAATAAAAAAAAATGTAAAAAAAAAAGAATCCAAAGAGAATATACAAAATAAGTGAGGCTCCTAAATTTGTTATCCCTAATTCAATGCACACAGAAAGCTCCCTGCCAATAAACAGTGTGTTATGGCTGAACAAAAGACAGTGTCAAAGAAAATATCAGAGTATTCTGTAGGGTCAAGAAGTAGTCAAAATACAAACACACTGAGACACGTCAAAGGGATATCGAAATTGTATGAATAACTTCAAATACAGGTCCAACTGGTAGCATCAGGATGGATGGTGAAGAGATTGAGATTGTTCACAGCTTCAGATTGCTCGGCTCCACGGTCACCCCTCTTGGCACCAGCAGTCAGGAAATCAAAAAACGTAATGCGATGAATAAGTCTGCTGTTAGGGACCTCTCTAAAGTACTCAAGAGCAACGGTGTCTCTCTGGAGACTAAAGTGCGCCTGATACAGGCCAT